TAAAATAGAAAAAAAAGACTTATATAGTAAAGTTATTATATTCTACGTGAGTTTGAGGACGAGGAGAAACTCTTGGGATAAGGTAATGTAACCTTTTATGTAGAAATTACAACATTCTATGTAGTATTGTTTTCTTCTTCCGTTCCAAAATGTAAATTGTTTTAGCTATCTTTTTTTTTTCTTTCAAAATGTAAGTTGTTTTGACAATACTAGATACTTTTTAACTTTATTGAATATTATGTGACCACTAATATTTTACAGTCTTTTAATCAAATTATTTTTATTAGATATATTAAATGATATTTTTTAGTAAAATAACTTACATTTTGAAATAGAATATTACATATGGTCCCTATAAATTTTGTTTATTGTAGCCTAGGTAGTCTCTGACAATTGTTTTATTTCATGTGGCCCATGCGAGTTAATTTGGTTTATTGTAGATGATCTACAAATGACAATTTGATTTGATTGCAGATGGTCCCTCAAAATTTTATCTTATCGTAGATTTTCTTATGAATATTTCCATTTCTACGATAACACAAAAAAATATTTCTCTCTTGATCAAACCAAACTTTTCACAGTTATGCGTTTTAGGAAATGACCTACTACAGCTCGATAATTGTTTGCGATAAAAAAGATGATATTGTACAACATACGGAAAATATCAAAACAAGATTGCATTTTTCATCAAAATCAAAGAACGTACCAAAAACACAAAACGATTTTATTATTATTAAATCGAAGCAGTCATTAGCTTCGTCTTAATAATTTATTTTAAAACAAACAACACGCACCCACACAAAACACTTAAATCGAACGAAACCACACTTACATCCTTACTTCTTTTTTATTCGATACAAGTTCATTTGTAAATTCCAATATCTTATCAATTACCATAACAATGGCAATGAATAAGATACAGTTCATTGTCATGAGCCTCACACACTCCTCTACATGACCCGGGGTACCGCACTGGGCATCTAGCTTGACAAGCGATATCCCTACATGGATTCAACAATGTCGCTTCACCTAAAAACCTGTTACAAGCTTGAGCTTCGCTCTTCGGGATTTCTATACATATTGAAACATCCATTCATTTACTATGTTAAGATTAAGGAAATATGTTTCTCAAACGTATAATCTTATATTTGCGTTTGAAAGGAGGATTTTGTAAAGATTATAATCGAAATTACCGGCCGAAATCAACAAGACAACGAGGAGAAGAGTGGTGAAGCATATGGAGTTGAAGGTCTTTGCCATTTTTGTAGCCTTTGCTTCTTCTTTTTACACTTAATTAGTTGCTTCTTTGTGTTTTCAGAAACTTTGATGAAACTAATCAATAAGGGTTGTAATCTTTTTATGGTGTAATATCTTCGACTTTTCCAAAGTAATTATAACCCTTGACCCAATAGGGTAATAGTCGGCTATTCCGGCTATGATCGTAACCTTTGACCCAATTGGGTACACTCAAATTATCATCGACCTTTCACACTTCGATCAAATTATCATCGACCTTTCACACATTTTATTATAATAATATTTAATATTTTTTAATATCTTTTAATAATATGATAGGTCAAACTTCAGGAAAAACTTTATTTAAGAGCAGTGAAGGTAAAAACATTTGGAGAGCATTAATAGTTACTAAACGCTCTGGTTAATGTTTTGTCTACCAATCAAGTTTTAATGATAAATAGCATGATGCTCATTTAAATGTTTTGACAATCAATGCCAATATCACTTAATATACCCCCCTCACGCTCAGGAATAAACATATGTAGCGTGGGAAATTATGAGAACAATATCCACTGAGTGACCAAACGATCGGGTGGTATGAT